GGGCTTCTCTGGCTTATTTCAGCAGCTCTCAAACAAACAAAACACATGTCACTGAGCACACAGCACACTTACAGCAGCTCCCACACGATCACAAGCAGAAACAAAGCCTTTCCTTTCTACAAAATAATGTCCTGTTTGAGTTCTTCCCAGGTTTTAGGCAGAGGCAAAGGCGAACGGCCTTGCAGCCACACAAGGACCCAAGTGTCGGCCCTTTGTAGTCTGTAGCTGCCCCTTTGATGTAGATATCCTTTTCTACTGGACAAACTTATCATTTCCAACACTGTGGATTCCCAAGATGCCTCAAGCTTTAATTAGCTTCTTGACACAGGGCACAGTAGTAAAGATCTCACCAAATAGCAGAAGTGGAAGCAGCAGCCACCCTTCCAGCCCCAGCTGTGTGCATTCCTGGACCTGTGAAGCTCTGGGACTTCTCCTGAGGCCCACCTTCACAGCAGGTATCTTCCTTCTACCTGGAAGGGGTAAAAGCACCCATCTGAGGACCTGTGGGTTAAGTCCTCCCTGTTGCCAGCAGACCACTCCTCCCAAGGAGACCTCCAAAGGGAGCATGATGGGGGCAGTTCTGAGGGCCCCAGGTGGTGCTGGCACACTGCGGGCACCCAGAGCCCACTGCCATTGGCAGTACCAGCAGCAGCAGTGCTTAGGCAGAGAAGAGGCTGGGATGGGAATGGGAGCAGGGAGCACGGCGTGGCACACGGGGTCAGGCTGAGGCTGCTGAGGGCAGCTGTGCAATCAGTACCACTGCTCTGCTTCCTCTCACGTGCCACCAGTGTGACCCGACCGGTCTAGAACCAGGAAACACAGGAAGAATGGGGTTTAAGCTCTGCCTTCAGTAATCTGAGAGCTTTCAGGACATTTTGGGGAGTGCCACAGTATTTCTTCACCCTGATCCTCTCAACCACAGGGCTGTTTTGGAATGAGGAATCCTATCCCTTTGGCACCTGGCAGCACTGAGCTCATGTGTCTGGGAACAGGTGTTGAGCCAAGCCAGGCTGGCAGGGAAGAACAGGCAGGTCTGGGCTGCACTGGTGTGAGGATGCCATTGTCATGCTCTGATGGAGACCCTGCTATGCCCCAGGTGCAGCCCCAGTGCTCACACCTGGCCAGCAGGCTGAGGGGCAGCAGGCCATGCTTCCATCACCAGCCATGGCACAGCTGCACTGCTGGGAGCACGGCTGCGCTGCTCTGCATGGTCAGACATGTGCCCACACACCCCCAAGGACAGTGCCCTGCTGCCCATCTGGTCGCTCCCATGCAGGCTGCATCTGCAAAGCTTCTCTGCAGGTTTCTTAGCAGGGCTCAAGAGCACCAGAGAGCCTGGACGTCTCAATCTGACCAAGATCTGGCACGGAAGGCTCAGTGCAACATAAATACTTATACAGACCATTATCACTCACTCTATGTAGCCTGGTCAGCAGGACTGGCCAGCACAAATGAGCAGCTGAAATGCTGCAGGGGACAACAGGACTTTTAATTAAGGTTACGACTCTGAAGAAGCACCTCCTTGCATGGAAAGCCTTTTGGATGATGCAAACTTTAGATGCAGAGTCTAATCTTTACATCAAAATCACTTCTACTGAAGCCACAGCTCCTGATCTTGGCCACAGTGTGAACCCTCTGCAGGCAGACACATGAGCAGGCATAAGTCAGCCTGGGAAGAGGCTCTTCTGCAGGCCAATATTCAAGCAACAGCCTGGCAGGACTGCCATAGTCCAAATCCAGTGCTGCCATAGAAAGCTCAGAGGCATCTAGGAGGCTACTGCACAGTACCAGTGTCCTCAACAACCTCACCACAGTGGCACCTTCTTGTGGGATGAAGTTCTGCCTGCAACCCTGTCCACAGAGGTGTCGACTGTAGCCCATGTCCCACACTGGATCCAACAGCCACAGGAAGGACAACATGCCTGACCCATGGACAGGGTGCCTCTTTTCCCTGCTGCGGCTGGAGAGACGGAAACCTGACGTGATGCCGGTGGCCTCGGACCTCAGATCACTTCCTGCACATGACATGGGCTCCTGCCACCTCCCCCTCTGCATCCAGGACTCCCTGCCAGACACTGCAGAGCAATCCATGTCCAGCTTCAGCAGGAGCTACTGCTCTCCACAGGCCACTCCAGTTCACCCTGAGTGGCCCCAAAGGACAGACCGACACCAGACTGTGGAACAGTTAAATCCCAGCACTGGCCTAGCAGGAGGGCCGGGAGATCCTGTTGCTCAGAGAAATGTGTTTGTCCAAGACAAACAGTGGCCGGGCATTGTTTCAGCATGAGTCAAGCGAGTGGAAACACTCCCGTGCCATCCTGTTTTGCTGTCGGGAGGTTTCCCCTACCTTCAGGATATGCAGACAGGCTCCGGGATGTTTCCGATTCGCTGTTCTCTTACTCCTCCATTTCCCGGAATGTCTGTCTGTGCCCAGCACTGCTCATTGCACCAGTGCAGCAGCCTGAGCCTTCTGCAGCCCCAATTTGTGCCCACAAAGTGCAGCCCACAGCCAGGCAGCCAACGGGCAGCTGATAGAAAGAGATGGTGGATTGATCTCCATCCATCTTTCCCATTGCTACAGCAGGAAAGGTGGCACCCAGACCCTTTCTGGCCACTGCCTTATCCTGCCCCAGGGAACCAAGTCCACAGCTCCACGAGCAAGCTCAGGACAGCTCTGCTAATTCACCCCAAGTCCTCTGATGCTTTGGGGCAATGCTAGTGCTGCAGAGAGCTGTGTGAAATGGTGAGGAAAACGTAAGTGGCAACACAGAGACCCCACAATCACGCTGCAATCCTCCTCCCTCCCCACAACCCTTTCCCCAGCTGAGGCTTCCAGCCTGCACACATGGCAAACAATGTGGCTGGAGCTGACACCTGTTGTTTCACACCTACAACATGTTTTTTATCTTTCTAAAAGTATAAAAATAGTAAAGAATTTTTATTTTATAAAGACATCCATGCTTTGTCAGCTCATGTTTGTGTCTGGAAACCCTTTTAGCAGTGAGGTGCGAGCCCCACAGGGTGCAGGGCTTGGCAGGAGGGCAGGCTGGAGTTTGCACAGCTCGCCCCACAACGGGTGATCTGGCGACAAGAAGGATCAAGAACTTGTTTTCACATGAAGATCAAAACAACACAAGAAGAAAAGCACAACATAGCCCAAAGTGACCCAGAATGTCAAAACTGCAACAACATAAAGTTCAGCCCAAAAATGCAGCCTGTGAGGGCTATTATTGCTTGGCATGTTTGTCCCCACTGCGGGTGGCAGGAGGGGGAGAACACAGCTATGGCTTGGGTCAGGTATTCAGTGCTCAGCCCACGATCCCCTGCCTTGTCCCCTGCCATGCTGAAAGTCTCTCCAGTGGAGCCCCTCAAACCTTAATTCAGTCCTTTCCAGGCACACCCAGTCCCACAAACCACATCCAGGCAGCAGATCACCATCCCCACTCCCTAGTTATGCATTGAAATAATGCAAAACCCCGCAGAGACAAAAACAAAGTGATTCCACCCTGCACTAATTGCAGACAAACGAGTGCTTCATTTACCCTGTTCCAGCACCACTAACGACAGGGATCTGCCCTGCTGGGCCCACCGAGGCCACAGCCTCACAGCCTGCAGCCACTCTTGGCTGGGGCTCTTCCCTCCATCCCCTTTCAACCTCTAACAATTGCATACGATTAACTGGGGCTGGATTTACCATTCTGGGCACCAAAATCCTGTCAGGACACCCAAAGCATGGTGTCACCCTATGGAGACAAGACCTCAGTGTTCCTCTAGTGCCAGCTCTTGCTGCCAAGAGTACAAATCAGGAGAGAGGCAACACCTATGCCACAGACAGAGATGTCTTTTTCCAGCTCAGAAATAGTGGTGACTTCTGTAGTTCAAGCAATCACATTCTGTCATATGGTTTAGGCTTCCAGGAAGCAATTGGTAGTGACTTACAACCATCAATCCCCTGTTGATGAACTTCTGTCTCTACCCTCTTCCCATCTGGATGCACAAGAGCAAGAAAGGCTGGTCCAGATCTTTGCAGCTCAGCCTGTGCCCAAGAGTGCTGCTGGTCATGTTCTAAGAGGCTCAGCAGGGAAGTAGGATTCCAGCAGGGAAGAAATAGACATACAGACCTCTTAGGGTTTTTTATCTTTCTCCAAGAACTTTTCCATTAGGATTAGCAAATCTAGCCAAGCCATCTCAGATGCTCAAACTCAGCTCTACTGAGATTCAATAAGGCATCTTGGGATAATTACCTGATCTACCCTGGATTAAAAGAAAAACTGAGGTCCATCCTTAGAACAATGGCTAAACGAAACCAATTTCTCTAAGCACCTAGAAACGTCCCTATGTCCCTGAATCCCACCAGTGGAGGGATTTGCATTATTTCCTATGAGTGGGAAGGACCGAGCCACCTCTTTGTGAGTGGTTTCAGCACAGTTGGCAGTGGCTGTGGACCAAGGGTCTGAAGAGCAAGGGACCATGAGGCCACCTTCATGCTTGCAAGCCCAGGTCAGCAAGAGCTGCCCATTCAGCCTTCCCTGGGGGAAGCAGAAAGTGCACTCCAGGGACTCAGAACCTCACTGCTGCCCAAACTCAATCCCTACTCTCTGCAATACTCTCAGCCAAAAGTTCAGCGCGCCAACACGCAAACAATTACAGCACCTCAGCAGGCATGGCTGGGCAAACATGATGTACATGATGTACTCTAGATGTACTAGAGTTCAGGCATGGATTTGGCACTGATGATCAAGAATTTGCCTCTGAAAGTCTTGTGATGGTGTGTGAGAACAAGCAAACAAACCACAGCAACACTGTATGGTTTGCTCATATCAATTTACAAGTTTCAGATTAAGGCCCCCTGCAGGGATGGTGGACTGGTCTCCACCATCTCCATCCATCTCCACAAACCACTGCTCTCTGGGTTTTTTTCCAAAGACCAACTTGAGTAGAAGAGAAGCCACCAGCCGCCTGCTGCCCACTCCCTGCTCCCCCTGGACAGGGGGCTGTACCTGTACACTGGTTGCATTTCTCTGGCAATCCCAATGACTGCTCCCTCTGGGAAGTTGTCAAACTCATCAAACAGCTCTCGGATGTTGGTCTTGTACTTCAGGTCCAAGTCTACCTGGATGATCCGTGTTATTTCTGAAAGTACAAAGAGGAAAAGTCAGCAATGTAAGACAAAAGTGTAACCTGTGATTACCACCAGCTGCTGGAGGAGCTGAACCCAATGAGGATTTGGTGCAGTCTACTCCATGGGCAACTCACATTTAACACAATCCAGCTGCAACCTCTGCATGAAGCAAACAAAGTTCAACCATCATGAAGCATTTACCACTGTGTGTTTACTTCAGAAATCTTTTCTGGTGACCCCCTGCCTCTATCCACTCCCTCCTTCCTTCCAGAAGACTGGTTCTCCATATAACTGATAAAAGCAAGAGGTAGCTTCAACCTAGCCTTTCTCGGTTTCTGGAAGTGCTTCTGCAGTGCCAACCTTGCAAAATTCCATGTTTACTTTCAGCTACTCCAGGAGTGTTTCCCACCTCCATCCCAGACAGCATCCATCCTGGCCCAACATATCAAAGCAATTCCCATCATGGATAGCATCAGTTCACCCCATGACACTTCCAGTATCACCTGCACCAACCCATTAGCTCCCAGCAGCTTGCCATGGGCTTCCCTGAGGAAGAGGCCACAGAGGTGACAGCCCTGTGCCTGCACAGAACTGCTGGTGATCTGCAGCAGCCTGGAACACTGTTACTGCTGGTGGTACCCTCTCAGAGGCAAGGGGGGTTCTAAAGACATGGAAACATCTTCCACTTGCAGTGAGACATCAAGAGCAAGGAAAGGCTGGAGGACATCATTCTCAAGGCTGGGCCTGAGGTACTTAACAGGGTCAGGTCCCTGCCTGAATTTGTCCCAGTCTCCTCTGCAGCACAAGAAAGACTGAAAGATGGAGATGCTGCTTGGGAGAGTGTGCAGGAGAGGTGCCTTGACAAGATTGCTTGTCCCAGGTGGATCTGGGGATGCTGCATGGATTGCAGCAGGCCAAGTGCAATGCAGCAAGTGCAGACACTACAAGAGATCAAGCCACTAGATGGGATCATCCAGCAACAAGCAAAGCCATGGTTATCTTCTGGCCAGGCCAGCTCAGCTCAGCCCTTCTCAGGGACTGTGAGTGGAGCCATCCCCAGGGTATTATGTAATGCCCCCTCTATGTGTGTTATAAAAGCCAAGAGCAAATTGGCCAGGTTGCTTAGCACTCAGCAGTAATTGGATTGTAAGGCTGTGTCAATGTCTTTTGGTCCCACTCATCATGCACAGGTGCCCTTACAGCTCCCTGCAGGCTAGACCTGCCTGTCACCACCACTTCCAGAGCAATTAGCAAACCAAGCCTTCATCCTTCCTCCTGCCCAGTACCTGCAGGCAGGAGGACAAGCCCTGCCTGCCCTCACCTTCTGCTGTGCCTGTGGGCAGGGCTTCCCATCAGCCTGTTGTTGCTGGGGCAGTGCCCCCATGGTTCCTGATACCTTCACCTTGTTGTGCTTGGGACAGGCTGCTGGCTACTCCTGGCTGCTGAGAGCAGGAGGCAATGGCTCTGTTTTCAGCCCCCAAAGCCACCATGGCACTGAGAGCAGCCAGGCACCAGCAGTTATCCCCCAGCACAGGAGTGCAGCTTTGCATTTTCAAAAGTGTTCATTGCTTGGTGTTTGTGTTTCAAGCAGATGCTGGGCTGTACAGCAGCTCTGAATTTTTTGCAGATCTTGCACTAATCTAGGACTCTTGGCAATTGGTCATACCTACCACATTGTCCTCATTTGAGAGCAAAAAGGCCCTGTGAGGTTAAGCAAGAAATATACTGCTTACACTGCAAAGCACCCAAGCAGAAATACAAATCAAGGAGAAACAGTATCTGAGCTACAACTCAGGCTGTATCTCAATTTATTTTTTTAACATCCATCATGCTCTATCTGCTAAAGCGAAAGGCCATGCTCCCTTCAGCTGTCAGTATGGCAATCCCCAGGCCTACCTAGTGTTTACCATCACCATAATTCTCTGTTTGCAGAGATTTAAACCCCAGGCACAGTAAATCACCACAGGCTAAAGCAGGTCTTGACCTGAAAGCAATTTCCCCCAGCCTTCCGAACTGCCTCAAAAATGGCCAGTGCAACTGAAGCATATGAATCAGCAGAGCAGAGGATTTCTGCAGTAAGGAACAAGACAAGTATCCCACATGCACCCAACCTCCCCAGTGGCTCAAACCACAGTGGGGCAAACCCCCAAATTCAAAAACATTACCACACTTGAGAATACCCAGACTGGTCACAAAACTCCAGGACAAGAAGACCTTGGACTTACACCACAATCTCAGCTCCAGAGAAATGTGGGGAGCCTGAGCCCTACAAGAGACTGGGAAGAGGGGATGGGATTCCCAGGAGCATCCCAGCACCACTCCCCCTGGTGCACAGCAGCCTCATCAAGTTTCAATTAAATCAACTGTGAGCCACGTCATCCGATTGTTCTGTAAAATTACAGCTGAACACAACTGCAGTTAATCACAGGGGAGAATGAAAGCTGTCCCAGCACCTCAGTGGGTGAAAGCTCTGGAGGGTCCCTGTAGCCCAGCCAGCTGTCCCCAGAAGCCCCAGCTGAGCAGGGGGCTGAGCTGAGCACAGCTGCAGTGCCAGGCAGGGATGGCAGTGCCACAGGAGCCCAGCATGGAGACACACAGTTTATTTACACACACACACCCTGGCTTCTCCATCCTGCCCTTCCTTAGAGGCTTCCCATGTTTGGCTCACCCCAGCACACTGGTCCATGCTGTGCACTGTGCTTCCCACAGAGAATACTCACCAAGAAATTAAACCCAGAATGCACCAAGTACTTTTTTTCCTTTGATTTTTTTAAATTTTAAATTTTTTTTGTTAAAGCAAGCATGAACTGCAACACTGAGACATAAGTGAGCATGGGTGACATGAAGCATCACTTTGCCAGATGCAGCTTGCATGCACAGATTAATGGCTGAGATGATTTCTCTGCCTGGGCCTGGCAAGGGGCCAGGCACTAACATTTCTGATGTGTCATGCTCTCTTACCCTTCCACCGAGCCTTTGTCCTGGCTGCCATGCAGGGGCGGAGGGATCGCGTGCTCTCTTAGGCACAAGCTGCTCACGGGGATCCAGCTGGAAATGTGGGAAAAGGCTGAGTGTTCTGCTCAGCAGGGAGTTTTCTAACTTTGCCACACTGTGTGGAACCCTCCTCTCTGTTCAGCTCCAGTTCCTCCAGCCACGGCATGGAGAGGGGAGCTGTGCAATTCAGAGATGATCTCCATTAGCAGTGACAGTTTTATAGGACAGGTTGGCCCCATTTACAGCTCGTAATCTTTTACTGCTGCCTTGTATCAGCAGCTACAGCAGGGCTGTGCTCCAGGCTTGGCTCAAAACCTCCCCAGCCCTGCCCAGAGGCGAATGGCCAGGTTCAGAGATGCCTCATCCCACCACAGCCTCATCCAGTGAGGGGGCAGAGGCAGGCAGAGGTCATGTCCCTGTGCCCTGCTGCCCCACATTCTCTGCCAGGACCCAGCACACAGATAGGCACCCCTTTGGTGTACTGAGGGGCACAGCAGGTTGTCTGGATGCTCTGAAAGGCACCCAGGAGCCCCTGTGGTAGCAGGCAGCTTCTGCAGCAAGTCCAACAGCCCTTCTCAAAAACTGCCCCAGGGCACAGCAGGGATAGAGCAGGTATGCAGTGGGCCAGGCCACTCCACCACTGGAATGACACTTGGGAGCAAACTTGGTCTAGATGAGCAATCTGATTTACCAAGTGACACACCTGTCCATGGCAGGGGGGCTGGACACAGATGAACTTCAGAGTCCCTTCCAACCCAAACCATTGTAAGACTCTATGAAATTGCTCTTCCCAGAAATGTCAGGCAGGATCATGAACGGCAGCAGGGGGCACAGGGAGGAGGTGAGCTGCTTTGGTGGACAGAGCCAGAGCTCTGGTGATGTCATGCAGCTTCATGCCAACGAGGAGAGACTCCTCCAACACAGAATCATGAAATTATTTAGACTGGAAAAGACCTTTAAGATCATCGAGTCCAACTGTTAACCTGGCACATATCAGCTGGGAGCACCTTGACCTCCCCTGCATCACAGCAGTGACTTTTGAGAGCAGAGGTTCTTCAAGAGGTCAGATCAACAAGGGCATTGCTGGGATTACTGCCCCAGCTGTGACCCAGGCACACCACTTTGCCTTTTCCCAGGGAGCCAGCACCTCCCAGTCCTGCAACACAGGGAGGCAGGACCCCACTCCATCCTTCAGGAGGCAGTGCAGGGTGGTGGCCTGGACAGGGCTGGGACTGGGAGCTGCTGGAGGGAGAGCAGCTCAGTGAACCTTCTGCAGGGCCAGCAGCAGCTGCAGCCAGCACGGGTGACACAGTGCAGCCAAGTGACAGGAGTGTCCCCTGCTGGCTGCAGCTCTGGGTGTGCAGGGCAGCAGTGGGCTGTGGCAAAGGGCCAGGGGGTGGCTGTTCATTTTACCACTTGACTGGACCACCAGAAGGAAGAGAGCCAAGCAACCAAAGCTCTCTGAGTGGGAGTCAGAAGGGCTGGGGATCTCTGGTCTACAAATGCTGGGCACACCTGGACAGCTGCCCCTCCACCTCTCTGAATCACTTTGAGCAATGTTTTTTTAGTCAGGTTTTTTAGCTGTGCCCAGCATGGCAGGAGAAGATCCCAAGGGAAGAAGGGGCTGTGAAGGACCAGCAGTGACTTTTAGATGGCTGCCTTGGGCCATAAACGTCCTGGAGCAGGGCAGCAGGCGGCAGCTGCAGCGGGCAGCGTGCCTGAGGAGCAACACGTGGATCCACAGAGCTGCCTGTCCTGGCTGTGAAACCACAACCCGCCGCCCTCACTGCCTCTGAGAGATGTGTGGCCAAGAAAAACTGCACTCCCACAGCCAGCACCATGGCCAAGCATGGATGCAGAGTGGGTGACAGGCTCCAGAGGTCCTTGTGCAACCCAGAGGGTACTGCCCAGCAGCAGCAGCCAGCTGTCCCCAAAAGCCTCAGCTGCAGCAGGGCACGAGAACAGCTGCAGTGCCAGGCAGGGATGCCAGCACCTCAACAAGCCCAATATGGAGGCA